AGTTTCCAGAAAACTGCCCTTAGGGAAGTGTGAAACTTGAGCCGAATGGAAGCAGCACAGTTGAGCCCACAGGAACCGTTCTCTCCGAATTGTCAGTTATCGACAATACGATGATCGGCACTGGTATTCCACGCGTATAGGCAAGCGTTGGAGGTTGATGGAGTACAAGAGCCAATTCATGATTGCCAGATCTCTGATCTTGGAGAGTCAGCGTCATCAAGAACACAAGACCCATAAACTTACTACATTAGATGCGTATTTTGACTTGCTCGAAACCCGATGACGTCATTGCAGCAGTCTAAGATTCGCAAAGTGAAAGCCCCAAAGATTGGCATCTTCAAAACTCCGATCGTCTGTGGGCACAACACATCACGCATCATCTTATCGTAAAAAGGTCGGACGTGATAAAGAATAGGTGAAAGATAGAGAACATGTGGCATATGAACAATAATTCATAGCCGATAGATAAACGATAGGCTATGGATGAACGATAGGTGGTACATTAATGAAAACCAACAATAGGTAAACAACAGGACAACAACAGGCAACAATAGATGAATAATAGGTGGACAAAAACACCTCAGGATCTCGCTATTGCACCATGGTTGATATTCTCCTCATACCTTTCCATAACTGCGATCGGACCTATCCTTTATCCGCAACTTGAGATTTTTCAACTTGTTCAACATCCTTCTGGCTCCGTTCCTTCTCCCTCTCGGAGTATGTTCCTCAACAGTTAGGATGTCTGATTTTGGAGGAGCAGGTCCCCAATATTGAAGATTACTTGCATCAATTTTATCATATAGCAGTCCAAATTTTCTATCGATCGGCTCGAGAATCATCGGAGTATAGGCGGATGCTTGCGAATTGAACTTCCTCAGCACATCGGCGAAGATAACATCACCAAGCGTGAAGTATAGGAGCCTTTCGATTGGTCCAGTTGAAGATGTTGCATTAACGTATCCGATTTCACCATCCTGCACATCGATCTCGAGTGTCATTCCTTCAACCTTACCGCTGTACTTGCCATCTGTTGGAAGATTGACTGTAGAACCCTTGATGAGTCGGAATGCATCTTCATCACACAGTTGGTTGAGCTCGGACAGAACCTGCGGCTTCCCAACATGGATTTCATCCATAAGATTACGTGGGAAGCAGTCTTCAGCCTTGTTATACGAATCAAGCTCTACGGTATATTCTTTTTGCTCACGGGTATTCCCGTCGACTTTAGTAACAAAGAATCCCCGTACGAGGCTTCTCTGACTTGGGCCTGTCTTTTTAATAACTCGTTGGCACTCTATCCCACCATTCACCACGTAAGACTTGCCTTCACTCTTATATGATGTTGACTGTCCGTCGCGCCTTGGTTCAAGATAGTAACGATTACCGGTTGTGATACTCTTCCCATAAATCCACTCGACCTGGCCGGGGGTATTCGTTGATCCTCTGCCGAATCCTACGCTGACCATCACAGACGTGATGAATACTCTGCCGAACCTATCCATCGCAAGGGGATAAGAGAAGTACTGAGGAAGGATAACTGACAACATTTACTGATTGAAGGAGGAACTCAGAACGAGGATGATGGAGTTTCACGCGTGCTATATGGCAAATACTCTGCGCTGAATCAGACGTTTCGAATACTCGAGTGCACATATTACAGATCACGATTAGCTCACGTAAGATATCTTGTTTGGGTGGTTTAATCGGGAAGAAGCAGAGCTCGCCAGTGTCACCGACGTTCATCGCTTAGTAGCTCTTTTGTGTATGAGTCCTATCGCCTATCGCATAAGCCCATGCGCTTACAATTGCTTTGCTCTCGCGTTCGCTTGTTGGCCGCTGCAGACCTTCTGAGTGGGCTCCATCAACCTTGTGAGTATCGGAACCGCTCAAATCATATTCGATGCCACTAAATTTAATGGGGCTTATCATCCCGATGGGCCTTCCAAAAAGTCATTGCATCGGTCGAGCTTCTGGTCCAGATGCGGTATCACGGATCAGAAAGCTACCCCCGAGAACCACCCGGCTACTACCGGACGGTTAGTTTGTGATCGACGGTCACAAACCCTGCAGGGCATGGAAGCCTCGCTAAGGATTCCCGTCGTTATGATTCACAGTATAAACTGGAGAATGTGAGGCGAATGGTTAACACCTTCGTTTGAAGGCTTCCGGTAGCACGATTGGGGGTTCCCGGAAATTTGTAAGGCGCTCGAAACAGCGGCGAGCGAACAGACCAAACCTGTGCACAATCCACGGTGATGGACCCATCCGTTGTTCTCTTTCTTCGGGCTGACAGCCTGTGGCTGGACCTCCGCCACACTATTGACAACATCCTTCTGTGGAGCGCATCTATCGGGTATGGTCGACTCGTGATGGGAAGTCGGCTTCGTGACACAGTTCATGTATGGCAGAAGACGTACCGTTGTTGAGTACAAGCAAGCAGTGAAGAGGATCACTGGATGAAAATTGATTGCTAGTCCGATAAATCAAGACTCCTAACTCACGAGAACAGGTCATGTGTGATACAAATTGTCCAACTCACTCGTGAATAGTATTACACTCACTGGTAACTACTGAGACACTCATAGTAGCCACGATCGTGTCGCCGACAACGTGTTGACTTCGGTCTTTCAAGGCAAGACAGTCGGAGCAACGAAATCGAATCGCTTCTCAAGAATGGTCAGTTATCATCCATACGATGCCTGGCACTGGTGTTCTATCAGTCGACTCGGCCTCCACGGCTACGGGTATACTATAACCTGGCGACATATTCGGCGTTAATGGCAGTCTTTGCATTGTGTTTGGTGAGTTTTCCATCGATGAGCTCAAACTCAAAGTCAGGTCAGCTGGTACACCGTGTCCGGGTTCTACTTCCCGTAGGCCAAGCTTGCGGTTCCCGACTCGGAAATCGAATTTTGGGACAAACCCTGCAACTACACCTTTTCAGTCTCAAATCCAGCAAATGAAAGAACAAATTAAATTTGATATTCGCAGAATGAATGAAGTTTTCCACTGCAAGGAGGTTTCAAATTCGAAATGAGAGTTCGATTTTCGTAGACTGCTCGAAAATGAAAATCCAGATTCGTGAATGAAATTTATGAATTCGGAATTGAAAGTTCAAATTCACAAAACACAAGACCAATTTCGCCCAACGAAGACTCATGGTACTCTCGTGATAGGTCATTACTGCATTTCCGTCACTACACTCGACCATGCTCCGCAAGATATACAACCGCTAGCACGATATCGCCCAGCAACGGTGAGCACAGAAATAGCCTTGTGTAGGAAAGACTGGAGTTTTCCGAACTTACATGACTGTAAAATTACAGGACATGACTGTCTCCTTGGAATGCTATTCCTTGCACCTGATCAACCGACCGTCATGAATCTAGTGCCGAATATCGTAGCTTCGTATCTCGAAGAGTTAGTTGTACGTGTGTTTTCACATCTCCAAAAGTCTACCAGATTCGCTCCACTGTTACCTCTCAACACCACTGGCATATCCCAAGGGGAAAATCGGTTCGCCTTGCCCAAATCATCTTCTATTTCCACCTACTACGCGAGTTTGGAGTGTCGCGAAAATGATCATCTTCCCGCTCACATGCAAGTTTGATTCGCAGAGTCCCCTTCACTCCTTGGACGCTTGTGGGCCACAGTTTATTTGGACCTCTGTCGTACTACGGAGTTCATCCAGCTAGACCTTTGCGAACTGGGAGAACAATTTTTCACGTATGCTCTGGTGTAAGTTCCTCGAGCAAACTGAATGATCGTAGTGTCGTTTGAGCCTGGTACACAGCACGCCATCTTGTTCGTGTCCTGTGAGCCGCCAAGCATACACTGGAATGAGCTCATGCATATTCTGGCAATAGTATGACTGCTATGTGCTTCCCACCGCCATGATCTCTCACTAAGATTGCTCGACTCAAAGTCACCCTTATTCTCCAACTCCCAGTCTCCGAGGTTAGGAGTTCACTTGCGCGCGAAGTGGCTTCCCTCGTTCGTGACTTCTCAGCGGAATTCCCCAACAAACTTCACAACACAGAACATGTTGATCAAGTCACACTCAATCACATTAACATCACAACAGCACCAGATACGACATTAACATCACAACAGCACCAGATACGGTATTAAAATCACAACAGCACCAGATACGATATTAACATCACAACAGCACCAGATACGATATTAACATCACAACAGCACCAGATACGATATTAACATCACAACAGCATCAGATACGATATTAACATCACAACAGCATCAGATACGATATTAACATCACAACAGCACCAGATACAACAGTAAAATCACAACAGCATCAGATATGATAAAGTATGGAAATTAGCTCAAATATGAATCACGTGACATGATCATACAATGGCTCACGATGATGTCCGTAACCTCAAACTCTTTTATAACCGCTTCTAAACGTTCCGGTGAACCTCTTTCTCATGCTTTTAGTGAGGTGCTTTATACCTGTAGATCGGCTTTTCGATTTCCCTTTTTCTCTCGTAGGCAATGCTTCAGTGAGACCGTTGCCTCCCTGAGAATCCTGGAACCAGCTCTCCAGATTCCTCCTATTCATTTTCTCGTATTGCAGCACAACTTCCCTCTCAGTTGGCTCGAGAATAATCCAATGGGTATTATATCTCACTCTTTCGAGAAAAAGACCCACATAGATAGCTTCGCCGACCGTAGTGTAGTAGAGTTGTTCTATCGGTTTCCCCAAAGATGTCGTATCGATGTGTTCAATCAAACCCTCTCGCACATGGAGCTCCATACTAACTCTTTGGCCGCCCGGTGAGCCTGCTTCATGACAGGTATACTCGCCGTCTTTCAGGGTAAATTCGGGGATGTACTTGCCACCTTCGACGACTGCGGGAGCACCCTTGATAACTCGGAAGTCAGAATCTTCACACAAAGCGTTCAGCTCATTCGTTTTATCGGCAAGTTCCGGACTGTTGTCGTATTGTTTAGGGAGTTCGAAACAATGAGACCGGCTGTCAGTATTCACGTTCACCCAATACTCAGTTTGCTTCTGCGTTTTCCCGTCGATAACAAACACCCAGGCTTGCTTCTCAGGGGCAGTTGGAAGCACGCATTCAGTGGTTGGTGTGCACTGAACATCATAGTTTGCATTCTTTACAGAGGCGTTATAAGTCGCACTGTAATCTTTGACTCGTGAAGTTCTATGCCCTGAATGTAAGTAGAAGCGATCACCGGTGGAGATATCCTCGCCATACAGCCATTTAGGTGGGGGGTATTTCTCCGAAGAGACCTTGACCCAAGCTACTGTGAGCATCATCGAGATGAATACGTTGCCAAGATTAGCCATTGTTCGGAAATACGACTTATACTGACGGGTAAAAAGCTCAGAACTCAATGCTCTCGAAGAAATCTGAGCTACACGGAGACGGGGATTAGCGGAACTGTCGAGTTGCTCGGTTCTCGAGGCGAGCGAGCTTGGATTCAGCAGGGAAGTCCTCTGAGCTCCAACCTGGGAGGGCCCCAGGACAATAACACATGCTCGAAAGTCTCCTCGTTGTAGTAGTCTCCCAATCACCGTGGCTTTGCGAGCTGATCGCGCTTGCTAGTAGAAGCCTTGTCGAGTCTTCAACACCCCGAAATAAGTGCAAAGCTTGAAGTTCAGGGTGGGAAAGATTCGACGGGTTTCAGGGCACACCATAGACTCGCTTCAGGGCCTATATTGACCAGCCAGTCCTTGGCCGAATCTTTAACGTACTCAATAAATTGACCGCGCGATAGAACACGTAAAGTGCGAGCAGCCCAACGATTACCGAAGAGATAGAATGGGACGATTATAGAAATGAGAGAATTTTTCCTATGTCTATAATCGTTGGTTCTCGACCTTCAATCTTGAAATCTTCCTCTCTTATATTTCCCTAATACCTCTTTACCAGTAGTGTGTCGGACTCGGACTTCTAGCACATAGCTACCATATGCTTTCCTTCTTTGAGCTTCGCTATGGGTTCTCTAACAACTTGCTGTTGAAGTTATTGCTAGTTAAATTACTCAAGTTTCGTACCTATGTCCAGCCTTCCCGACTGTTTTGAAGCTCTTGCCTCCCTACCAGAGCACCAGAAGACCTACTCTGAATGCCTCAAATACGGTACTGTATAAAATCATACCACTCCTTTTCCAACTCATCGTTCCTGTAGGTACTGCTGGTTTCCGCGAGGTGGCCGATGAGCTTCCCTTGGACGCGGTATTCTTCCGTATGGGCGCCTTGGCCGCCGCCCGTTCCCGCGTTCTCGGCGGTAAAGTTATGGGAGTTATGATAACTGCTTCCCACAACCCTGAGCCGGTAGGTATCCGTAGGTTCGGACAGCGTATCTTTATGTGCATGCGTGCATCAGGATAACGGTGTTAAGATGATTGAGCCCAACGGTGGTATGCTCGTCACCGACTGGGAGGAGCTCTGTGAGAAGGTGGCCAATGCTGAGGACGTACTATTTCAAGTTGGTTTTCGTGTTGGTCTAAATTTCATACTCAGGTTGGAGCTTTCCGTGGCCTCATCGAGAAGACCCTCGAAGGCTCTACATGCAAGTCTGGCATCGTCTTCGTAGGCTGTGACACTCGGTCCAGCAGCAAACGTCTTCTCCGTTGCGTAAGTCGTAGGGACAGCTGTATGGAGTTTTACGGTTTTTCTATCAAAAGGTATGCCGAGGTGTTGCTGCATGCGGTGGTTACTGCGAGAACTGGGGGGAGCTAACTACCCCTGCCCTCCATCACATCGTCCGTCAAGCCAATGGCCTTGGCCATGACGTGTCTCTGGCCAGCAAGGAGGGCTTTGTCCGGATGTTCAATGAAGGCTATCGTCGTGTCACCGCTGGCGTGTCACCCGAGTCACAGCTGAGTCGTGGTCCTGTACTGGTCGACTGTGCTGGTGGTGTTGGCTTCGAAATGGTAGAGAAGGTCGCCTCCACTATGTCCGATATCCTATCCATTGTCCCTCGTAACGGTCCTACCACTCCCGGCCTTATCCTGAATCATGAATGCGGTGCTGAGTACGTCCAGAAGGGCCGACTGCCTCCTAAAGGTAGGTAGCGCTAGTGGTAGATAGTACGTAAGGAGCGTGTTTTAGGGTCTTTCTCGGCTACTGCTGATGCTGGCCATAGGATTGCCTCCCTTGATGGTGATGCTGACAGGCTGGTGTATTCCTATTGGGATGTAGATATGAAGTAGAGCAGTTCTTGGTGGTAGCAAAGGTGTAGGGCCGTTTTCAGGTGGCATCTTCTGGACGGCGATAAAATCGCCGCGTTATTGGCTGAGTTTATCCAGGCCCAGCTCACTCTGGCTGGCCTGAAGGACGATGCTGATTGCGAGTTCGCTGCAGTAAGTGTTAGTTGGAGTTTCGTGCAGGGTTATGTGGCTCGTAGGTGCAAACAGCATATGCCAACGGCAACTCTGGTCGGTTCATTCGAGAGAAGCTCGGGGCGCGTGTTGAGATGGCTAAGACTGGCGTTAAATTCGTGAGCGACTAGGTTGTGTTGAAGGTGTGGTATTAGCTTTGTCTCTCAGGTGGAGGCTGTTGCGCACGACTATCCGATTGGTATGTACTTCGAGGCAAACGGTCACGGCACTGTAGTGTTCAAGCCCCAGGCTTTGGCCAAGTTCCATAAGGTCTTGGCGGATCAAAAGGGTAATACTTGTGGTATTGAAATGTCTTAAGAATCGCTGTTTCCAGCTTCGATGAGTGCAAGAGAAGCAGCCTCGAGACTTGTGGGTCTGTCGTGGCTCATCAACCAGGCTGTTGGTGATGCTATCTCTGACTTCCTGGCGGTGGAAGCAGTAAGATGATAATCGGATTGGAGGGGGTTAGCATAGGTCGAGGGTTCAGGTGTTGGCAGTGAACGGGTGGTCTATTGGGGAGTGGGATGGTATGTACGAGGACTTGCCCTCGAGACAGGGCAAGATCTTTGTTAAGGATCGCACTCTCGTCCAATGTAGGGGTCTTTAGTTCTGTGTTAGAGACGGCATTATTTGTACATAGGTACGGACGACGAGACGGCAGCGATCACCCCGGCTAACCTTCAGCCTGCGATCGACGCTCTAGTTGCTAAGAGGGAGGCTGGCAGGGCTTTCGTGAGGCCTAGTGGTACTGAGGACGCTGTGAGGTAGTACTGTTTCACGGAGGTTCGGGTTATTGAGGTATTGTAGAATCTACGCTGAGGCTAAAACTGAGAAGGACGCCAATGAATTAGCCTTTGAGGTGGCTAAGGCGGCTTATGAGATCGTCGGGGGCGCTGCAGGCAAGCCGAGTCCCTGTGCGGCTGAGTACGGTCTGTGATGAAAGTAAATGATGTTGATTGTTTAGAGAGGACTTCTCTGTACTGGTATATACCGTAATTGTTTCTACATGGTGTGAGTTCATGTTGTGTCGTTCTATGACCATGGGTACCATGGGATGGGATGATGTGTGCAGTGCAGGCGAGGCTATCTTCGTGGTCATCGGAAGCATCTGGACGGCTTGGGAGCGGTACTTACTTGTCATGAGGAATAGTAGTAGGGAGATATTGTACGGGTCAAATTTTTCAGTTAGTCGAAGCTGGGACGATTGGGTTGTATATTGAAATTTGGTATTATTCGCGATTTCAGGAATATATTTGTTTCTGCGGTCTCGAGTCGAGGATTAACGATGTTGTTCTCGGTTGAAAGAAATTGTCGTTGCAAAAATAGATATGCCCTGGCTTTTCAGTTGTCTTATCCCTTGATTGTCAACCACTGCGGTTGGATGAAAGCTACTTGAGGCTCCCGAGGAGGCCCTCCTCTTCAGTTGGGAGGCTGCATTTCAACAGGAGCCGTTTATTGCATTCCTGGAGTACATCACATTTATAGAGTTGTTACTGCCGTAGCATCTTCGTCCTTGCGTTATTGGGAAGTGTGGTACGGGAATTATATATAGCTACTCATATCACCGTAAATGTCACCGGTTGTAGCCGGGTGGGATGGTGGGAAGTCTGGCGGTAGTCCTAACGATGGTGACGATACTGGTCTAGGGCAGACTGCTAGGACCACTGACACTGTATCTCATGGGCTCGTGTAGGTAGATGAAGACGATGCTCACATGGGAGTGGTATTTGATCAGGCCAGCCTTGCCGGGGAATGGTGTGTCGAGTCTTGGTGATCGGCGCCAGGGTAATGATGCTCGATTGACCCCTAGGAGCCCCGGTGTTGGGGACTTATCGAGGAGGAGACGATCATTCATGGAAGGTGTTAGAAGGCGACCATCAGGCTTCTATAAGCCGACGGCGGCGGAGGACGAATTGCCGATAAATGACTTCAATGTTCATGGGTGAGTATGGGGGATGCTTATGGCCTTTTGATAGTAGTAGTAGTAGTAGTAGTGGTAGTAGTAGTGTTCGATTCGGAAAATAGAACACAATGGGTGGAGCTCGATAGTAGACACGGAAAGACTGCGGTGGACATTAAGGGGGAAACATTCATGCTGCCGTGAAGGTCTTCGCTGACCTCAGGTTACCAGCTGAGTGGGCGACTTTGAATCAGATGACATTGAAGAGTCTAAACGACTACACCTTCCATAGCAAACCGGGTATGGTCACTCGGCCTGGTCTGGAGATCTTCGAGTGAGTCCTAACCGGGGATCGAACCTGCGCCCTCTGGATTTGATATCTTCTCAGTTCTGGTGATGATAGTAATGCTGCGTACGAGGACGATGACAGTGATATATCTTTCGAGAGGAAGTATAATTCTGTAAGGCCCTCCAGTTTGTTCGATCGGCCATGGTCCTTGGCTAGGCGCCGTCAAAGAGTCGTCGCCCCCGACCTGTGTTCCGATTGCTGAATCGTGAGCGACCAATGAAACAGAGCACTGGTACTATGAGAATTGACAGGAAGAATCAGCTGCAGTCATTGTAAGTGCAGTGGTGGTGGGGTTGTTGCTGCTGTTCGTAGAGCTTTGGGTAGATACGTCAGCGACTTCTTCCACAGCGTGTTGGACACCAACACTAATGTGCTTATCGCCGGCATTCTAGTCTTGTAATAATGGGCATTTCAAAATCTTCAAGAAGGCTCTCCTAGAAAATTTAATATTGTGAATTAATTATGAGCTCCAATATGAGGACGCAGAGTCGATCGGATGCTCCTTTAGGGGGTATTACTGGCAGTATCAGGCGACTCTCCTTAATGTGATTTTATAGGCTGTCCGTTTGAAATAGGCACTAGTGTAACAGGAATAGATAAAAATCCTGATCTACAACGCTCATGCCACGGTTACAACCGCCAAATGGCATACGATAGTTTGCCGCGGTTTATCAGTTGGGCACCGTCTCAGTTCATAGGCTTACCCGATTTCAGTTACATAACGGTCGTAGCGGTATTCGCGGGGCTATGGTTATTAGTAGACGAGCCATGTGGTGCCCAGTTCAAAGGCAGCTACCTTAGAGCCTTCTACCTCTCGATGGAGACGCAGGCCACTGTCGGGTTCGGAGCCCCTGACCAGTACGTTGTCGACCCCCTGCTCGTGCTCGGCTATCAATATCTAGGTACTTCTCTGATTGCACCAGTGGAGCTGTGGTCCTATCCATGCAGTGTTGTGTGACGGTCCTTCTGAATGCCTCTATCATTGGATTGCTGTAAGTGGTGTGCCCTGTGAGTACAGTGGGAATTGATGATGCTCTTTAGATATACACGACTCTCACGAGGCGGCAAGCGAGCTGAGACGATACTGTTCTCGGATAAAGCAGTGATTCGAGCTGGTTCGGATGGCAAGCCGTACTTCATGTTTCAAATAGTGGAGATGAGGAAGCATCAGCTCATAGAAGCCCACGTTCGATGCTACTTCTTTTCCCACAGAGGCCGCTATCGCTTTGTCGGAGAGTAATAAGTGTATGATTGCCGTTAGGAGTATGACTGCTATGATAGGTACATGCGTCTGAACAGACCGAATGATGAGCTGGGCGCACCATTATTGTTAGCGATGCCCACTTTGGTCATTCATTCTATCGACCGTTACTCACCATTGATGCCCTCAAGTAGACTGCTAGTCAGTGCCGGTCTCACTGAGATGGGAATGTCTCAGGCCAACGTCACGACACGTTCCCCTTCCCACCACTTCGAGAATGTGATGGTTTGCAAGGCAATCGAGACGACTATAGCTGCCCGACTTGTGGTGAGACTTTCCACACTAGAGTCGACCTCAGGTCAGTTTTGTACACCTCATCGTTGTATCGGCTTTTTACAGTGGAGTTTTAGAGCGCACATTGTCTATAATCAAGTGAATGATGAGATCAATGGGGTGCCTCCGGAACACTCACACAGATTGCCGCCTGAAGTCGAGACAGATGCGGGAGGTAAGTCGAGGTCGCGGGTTCGAATCCTGGCTGGGGCATTTCTTACAACATAGGTGCAGGGCCGGTCGAGGACCGCAGCCAAGCCGAGCGAATATACGACTACCTCTCGCGTTCTGGTTATTGGGAAGTCGTCGTTCTCGTGGAGGTGACCGCTATCATCTCCTCCGTTTTACTTTACTCGTTTGTCACTCTAGGGAATAGAAGGCAACACTAGCTCTACACTGCAGGCCAGACACAGTTACACTATTGATGATCTTGTGGTCAATGCCACTTACGCCCCCTGTGTTACCACGGGAGATGACGGTGAGCTGTTTCGATGGAAAGCGTCTCTCTCAATAGTGTAGCGCCATGTGGTGTTTGGTGCATTTCAATTCAGCTCGGATGGAAGTGAGTACTCACTCTTCAGGAGCGTGTCATATAGACTACTCGAAGATCAACGAGTTGTGGACATCGACTGGCCGAGTCGCTAATGACGGGGGGTCCTCCAACATATCGGAGGCTTCGAGCTCGCTCTTGGTGAGAGAGGGATCCTTCTCCTCTGAGGCTGACGATACTATAATGGACGACGTCCCGTGCAGAAACTGACGGGATGTTACTATCGCGATTCGCCACAGATCTGTATTGTACTTTGTTTATAATATAATTTGTGATTGAATTTTTATCAAAGTGCTTCCATCAGCACTGAGGTGTCCTATTCTATCCGTTCACTACCATTGCTACAATTTTGTAAACCTCTGTACAGTTGCTACCATCTTTACCATTCGTTTGAGCTACTATCATCAACTTAATGTTCCCTCTGGATCGCATTTCCCGGCTGAGTTGGTCTACCTTGGGTCTCTTTGTTTTTGCAGTTTTTTCATCAGATGACATCCTCAGCATTCTCAGACCCTTTGTAGTAGGCGCTCGATACTATAACGCCGACTATAAGCTCATCAAGTCCACCTGGCGAGGAGATAGGGTTTAGTGGCGAGGGACCATTGAGTCACTTGTCAGAATCATGTTGTGTGGGAAAGCTTTTCTTGAAGCTTTCAGTGTCTGCCTAGGAGGCGCTATTCCTTCCAGATACCTCCATGTGAATTCTCGAAATTGCATCAATACCATCAGCGTGTTGTGTTATGGGTGTGTTGACTGGCCGTACCATAATTTGATGAATTCCCAGAAGTGATTGTTGTTGAAGACACACCGATGTCCACACGGGAATGGTCTATCAACGCCAGCTTCGCCGGCATGTTCAAGAAGAGCCAGGCCGAGCCAGAGGAGGAGGAGGCACACCATGACGAGGTAGAGGCAACAGCCCCGGCAGGTAACCTATCACGAATGCCATTCATATGACCATATTGCTCCTTCCAGCATCGGTGCCCTCAGCAGTCTCGTGGCTAGCCTCGCTGGGGAAGAAGCCAGCAGTCGCTGCTGCCCATGATGATGACGACGAGACGGAATCGATCGAGGTTGGTGATGTATCAAAACCCTCCCAGAAGAAATACCGGTTTTTGTTGCCCGCAATTGACCGACGGAAGATCCCGAAAGCTCCTCCTTTCTACAGGAGAGGCAGTGATGAAGAGATTCGTCGGCGCTGGTTGAGCACGAGAAAGGTAAGTATGATGGTAGAATGCCTTGGATCATGCGGTGGTGTTCGCCAGGCACTCACTGAAGGGTGGAAACGGAAACGTCGAGATGCTCTTCGCCGGGTGAAGCGATGGCAGCAGAGTACAGGGCAGTTCCGAGCCACTGAGCAGCTATTCTTTGATGAGCAGCCACATTAACGTATCGCTTTACCATCATTAGGCTCAGTGTTTTGTTATCGGTCAATTTAGTGATGATGAATTTACGGGATCATATCCAACACAGTATTGCTTGTGATATCCATGTTGATCCATCTGTTTGTTTGCACGTTGATATTGATTGAGTCAGCCCAGTGAGACTGTAAGAAACATACACCAACGAATTCGCGTCCTTTGTTGAACTAAACGCCTAGACTTACACATAGACCAGGTATAACATCAATCTTCCGTATATTTTATCTGAGCCATGGGTGAAATACTAACGGGGAAGGTAAAACATTGACTTGTCTTTACAGAAATCATTCGAATTGAAAATGCTGTAGTTTTGATTCGGTCGTCAAAAAGTGGTGTGGGCCACGAGAAAGATGGCGCAGACAAAGTGACCGAGCAGTACGCACACGTACGTAGCAGTACGTACATGAACTTGAAGTACATTTCCGTGATAGTAAACAGTTGGCATAAAAACATAAATAACCAAGATCATCTATCAGATTCTCGTAAACATATTGCGATAGCACGAAGACTGATACAATTGAGAATCACACTATCCCATTCTTTGACTTCCGCGATTCTAATTGCGTTCCTAATCGACTCCTCAACAAAGGTCGCCATAGATCTGCAGAGAATACGTGTTTCTAAGACTCAACGCAACATACAAGGAGAATGTTCCACAGTCCTGAGTCCTTTAGAAACGCCAACCAATCATCATCATTTTACACCGCTGATGAGCAAATGAATTGCCTGTTCCCTTTACTCGGACTTCTTCAACTGTTGGCAGCCCTTGAGAGCGTATTTGGCGTTACGCAGGAATTTAGGGCACATACCGCGAGTGGACATCTTCTTGTAGGTAGGGGCCTGACAGAACAAGCAACGTCCATCTAGTATACGCGAACACAATATCATAAACTTCAATTAGGTTAGCGAAGCTCCATTTGCGATTTTCGTAGGAATAAAAACGAGCCCATCCTTTTACCTTCTTGATGCCGTTACGGTGGGCCTTCTTGTTCTGGTTATGGTTGGTATGGTTCTTGGACTTGGCCATGGTGACTGATTCTCAATGACTCGAGAGGACGGTTAGAGCACACCAAATAGGCAAATCGATTAAGCTACTGTTCTGAGGAAATGCAAGATTTCAAGATTACTGCAAGATGTCGGTTTCTGATGATAGGGAGACTCCTCTAAGTGAGGCTATTCGGAAGTCTTCCGGGCGAACGTAGTGGCAGTGTGGACCTTCTGAAAACTATCGTCTGGGTAGGAAAAGATGATTAACATTAGTAACTATTGGAAGCTCTACTGGTGACACCAGTCTGGTATTGAAATGTGGGGAGGAGAATAAAGAAAAGAATGTGTGAAAGGTGGTACCCGTCAACTGCACCTTTTAAACATCTAGTTCGTTTTTGGAACCATCAATTTCGTCGGGACCGCGACATAGGTCAGGCGAAGCTCATTGCGGTTGAGAGTAGTGGCGTAGGCTATACAAAAAGCTTGGTCACCGTTAAGGACGATTCCAAGGCTGTCAGGATTGCAGTCGTGGGCTCTCCAAGATGCGATACAATCACCACGACTTTGAAACAAAGAAAACGTCCTCTCTATTTCGAGCGAATGACCGAGTCATTTAATCCTTTAATGAAGCTCGGTGTGGAGAGTAACGAAGTACCTTCCAGTGCTGCAAAATATGTGCTCGTTTTCCTCAGTTGAGCTCAATAGTTTCCTCACTAATCATACACGAATCGAAGGAATACTTACGAGAAATGGAAAGACACTTATAGAAATTCTCCAAAATTTCCTCAGAGTTTTCGTAGTGTCACCAACACTTGTGGTTAATCATGTGCAAATTTTACCACACTGATACTTTCAGTCCGGAACGTGGGTGGTCGCTGCCTCGCCGTTTTGGTCCATGAAAGGGTCGGTATAGGCTACCGGCTATGTCTTTGCGACACTTCTCTGAGTCCCTTGGGTTGGCCTATCGTGTTCTTCAATTCCTACCAAGTAGAACGCCAAATGCAGGTGGTTTTTGGTGCTGATGATCTGGTCTACTCTTTCGGCAAGACAGTATTCTCGCCACACCTGCTATCGAGGAGGAAGACGAGTATATGTTGGATAACGAGTCCGAGGTTCAAGCTGGTCAAAAGGTGCACTTAGTCTTCAGGCTTGGCACCCTCTACATCTATAGATAATCGGATTTAATAGATAAGACTAGTATGGAGAGGAATAATGGTACTCACCTTTCCGAATTCTGGCAGTCTTTTAGTAATTCTATTTCATTCGTTGTCTCTGTTGTTGTTTTACATAATTCAGCGGTGGTATAACTGTAGACTAAGGGAGCCGGATCTCCCTCTCGATAATGCCTCGAACGTAAGGGTCTCTCTCCGGCTCAGCTTCCCGATGGAACTTCACTTGGACGCTTGTTCCTCACTGGCAGGCCTCTCTCGCTGGTGACATAACCGCGTCTCGCGTAGAAAGTGATTGCAGGGTGATGGTGGTGGTTCGGCATGGTTCGATGGGTTACTCAGCCAGTGCTTCTAGTTCTTCCTCCTCATACACTTTCCACTTTCTAGGGTCATCATCATGTACGGTACGTCTCTGCCCCCTTTAACAGACAAGACTGCATCATCATCATCATCTGCGGCCAGCACAGCATCCTCATCGGTGTCGATGCCGCATGAGCCCCAGCTCCCACTTGATATGGAGATCGCATTACGAAGCAAGGTGGGTCGCGATCCTATCGCGATAGGATGGTCATCACTCGAGGGTCCCTGCTTAGTCGTTGGTGACTATGATGAAAGTGCGAAGTCGGGAATGGTCAGTTATGGACGACCTGTGGCGGACGTCCTCGATGCTCAACAGGAGGGAGAGAAGGCCTGGGATAAACATGGATGTAATTGGATGCTTGCTCCGATACTTTGCTAGACTTCAGCCACTACTCTGAGATTCATATGTGTTAGGTTGACACGTTGCGTGTAGAAAACATGACTTGGCGTATGAGGAACAAGTGGAAGAACCATGAGCCATCGAGAGTAGATTATATTGATGATGACAGTGTGAGAACAGACATTTTCGTGGTGCGCGACAAATCAGTGCTGCTCTCAGTCGGAGTCCACGCCCGTCGATGAGTCGTGCAAGGGTCTCTTGGAAGTCATCAAGGGCCACAATGATGATATTCGGTTTGAGACTAGCAGGTAATAATCAACTATGGCGGAGCGAAGTTCCGTTTTGAGTCGAACCTGCTGCTTCTTGTAGGATCCTCGCGGGAGCCCCATTTGTCAGTACATCACTAAGTAGTGTTTTCCGACATGAGTAAGAGTGAAAAAGGGGACATGCCTCTATCACACTATATCGTTCTAGTCGCTACCACGGTTTCCTACTGGACATGGACGGAGTTCTTCATCGATTCGGAACCACTATTCCGGGAGCTAGCGAGTTCATGACAATGCTCAACGCTGGACAAGTAGCGATTCTTTTGAGTACAATTGCGACTGAGTTTGTACTTTTACAGGTGCCCTATATGCTCTTGACCAACGAATGTCGGTATACCGCAGAGGATCTGAGCCGTAAGCTTTTGGGTATACTCGGAGTGAGTATACCTGTCAGCCAGATATACACTGCGGCTAACAGTAAGACTTTGGTTTGGTACTTCCTCTCTACTACGGTGTCGTTCTTAGGTGCTGCTGACTTCTTCCATCGGCTCATGGCTAACGGTTGGACAGGTATGGTATACATCGTTGGTGAGGTACGTTATAGTCGTTAAGGTGGTATCCTCTTTATCGAATTCGTGACTAGGTGGGCCTGATCTCTACTGTGAGAGATGCCTTCGTGAAGCATGGATTACCTGAAGACTCTGTCGTCACGGGTGAAACGAGGAAGACTCGTGCACCGAGGGAGATCGACTATGTTCTTATCGGCTCGGTAAGTGAGGTGAACCACCGTGTCCAGGGATCGAACCTGCGTGCCTGATCCACCTTGTCTGCCCCAGGTCCACTCCGAGAACACAAGATACGTCGAGTACGCATGCTCTTGTGTCCAGGAAGGAGCCCGTCTCCTCTTCACTTGCCCTGATTACTATGAAGTACCTTGTTGCATCGTTTCTCGTCTTCTATGGTGTTTCTAGGTAACATCGGATGGAAGCTACAAGTTCGGAATGCCCATGCCCGCTGTGGAGATGATATCCAAGGTCCGTCCATGTCTGACACGATGCATCTCCACATTGCCCCTATACAGGTTACTCATGCATCCTCGTATAACCTAGGGAAACCCAACCCTCATATGCTCCGGATGGCTCGACAGCGATTGTTCTCGCAGTGTCCTCAAGGCCGTCACCCCGGACTAGGCCCAGTCCTCTTTGTCGGAGACTCCTTGGGTATAATTGCCTTCCTTGTACCGTGGCCGAATTCGCTGTCGCAGGTACGGACATCCGCACAGCCATCGAGAACGGAATCGACTGCGCTCTGGTCATGAGTGGATGCACTGATGAGAAGCAGTTGAAGAGGAGTCCACTACTTCCTAACTTTGTAACTACTGACATTAGTCTCAGTCATAATAGAGGTTCGTTCCTATCAGGTTTTTGCAAGCATCAAGGAGCTCATGGCCGCCTATTCAAGTGGCTCTCTGGTCCCTTGCGTCCCTCTGGGCGGTGATGATGGAGCTCACTAGTCTCTGTTTATGATGAAACCGATCGGTGTACACGCTACGCGAGGTTTCAATTTTTCAGACGCTTAGATCGAGAGTTGTGGAGAGGATCGTCTATGGTCACTCCATATTCACTCGATAAGTAACACATTGCAGCTGTGTGAATACTTTCTGTGCCTCGTTGCTCGTGCCAAAGGAGCGAACTATTTAGTCTGCATAAATCTATTGCTGCGTTAGTGATTTTTTATGGGGGAGAAATAAGTGGGAGTCAGTGTTTGCAAGGTTTCGGTGGTCGCCAGCATTGACCACTTAGGGAATGTAGATCGGGCCGGTTGACGAGATTTGCAAAAGGGACCATCCTGAGCCTGTCACCGATGAACAGCGCACTTAATCATTAATCTAATTCCAACCTCGATAAGTTAGAAACCCAAACATGTATTCAGACGGAGGATCTTAATCCAACTCAAAGCTATTCCACTCCACTCTCGGAGTTGTCTTGAACATTTTCTAACTTTCAAGGAGACGCTCCATTGGAGCGGACCATTCGGTAACACGGAGACAGATGAACGCAAAAAATACAGCTCGCTGAGACACTCAGCTTGAAAGGCATCCTGAACGAACTAGACATCACTGATATATCACGGATCGTGACATTTGGTCTATCCGGTATGGATGGTAACGACTTGTGACTCAGGAATCGTCATAGCTAATTGTGCATAGCCACAGCTTCAAAGCGAAGATGGCGAAAAGCTAAGCTTAACACAGTGTGCTAAGGCAATCCAACAGAGCAATAACATCACTTGTGATTTATTCATCCACAACAATGGTTTGCCAACTTGGTATCAATGGTTTCGGTCGTATCGGCCGTCTTGTTTTCCGTGCCGCCATGGAGAACCCTGAGGTCAAGGTCGTTGCTGTCAACGATCCCTTCATGAACATCCCCTACATGCAGTACCTCCTCAAGTACGATTCTGTTCACGGCCAGTTCAACGGTACCATCGAGGTCGCTGAAAATGCCCTTATTGTGAACGGTCAGACCATTCAGGTTTTCTCTGAGAGGAACCCCTGTGATATCCCGTGGGGTAAGGCTGGTGCTGATTACGTCTGTGAGTCCACTGGTGTCTTCACTACTGGTGAGAAGGCCTCTGGTCACATCCAGGGTGGTGCTAAGAAGGTCGTCATCTCCGCTCCCCCTAAGGATGATACCCCCATGTTCGTGATGGGTGTCAACAACAAGGAGTACACTTCCGACCTCAAGGTTGTGTCCAACGCCTCTTGCACTACTAACTGCTTGGCCCCTCTTGCTAAGATCATGAACGATAACTTTGGTATCGTCGAGGGTCTCATGTCCACCATCCACGCCACTACTTCCACTCAGTTGACCGTCGATGGTCCTTCTAAGGGTGGTAAGGACTGGAGAGGAGGCCGTTGCGCTGCTGCCAACGTCATTCCTTCTTCTACCGGTGCCGCTAAGGCCGTCGGTAAGGTCATCCCCTCTCTCAACGGTAAGTTGACTGGTATGTCCTTCCGTGTCCCCACTCCTGATGTCTCGGTTGTCGATCTTACCTGCCGTCTCGAGAAGGCCGCCACTTACGACGAGATCGTTGCCGCCGTTAAGGAGGCCTCTGAGGGTGACATGAAGGGTGTCATGGGTATCACTTATGATGATGTCGTTTCCACTGATATGTGCAACGACAAGCACTCTTCCATCTTCGATGTTAAGGCCGGTATCGCTCTTAACGACAAGTTCGTCAAGCTCGTCTCGTGGTACGATAACGAGTGGGGTTACTCCAACCGTCTTGTTGACCTCGCTGTTCACATGAGCAAGGTTGACGCTACTGCTTAAATAGATATGCTCTAGCCATTTTTCTGATCTACAACATTCCTTCACGGCTGAATGCCAATTTCCTCAACAAAGCTGTTGTATTCAAGTTCAATATAGGGGGATGCTATCGGGACTGAATTGCATCGATTATCCTCTCAGTAATCAAATAGACTGATTCTAACCCGAGCAGTTACACACCACACCTCTAGTCTTGCAATCATCGTCATGATTTACTCACACTTTACGAACCAAGTCTTGCAGCGCCGCATTGATAATTCGAAGATTCACGATGTTGAGTTTTACATACAAGTTCTCGAAACCGTGACTGTATGCGTTAGTAATTGAGGCTTGCGCGGCCATTCTTATTAATTACAACTTGAACGAGCAGCATAATCACTCCGAGTGATGAAGTAGATGGTGATAGACTGTACGACTCCGATCTACGACGAGTTTGTTAGGACCCCAATCCAACCTACTTCAACTCGAGTACTGAGTCATTGGGACAAGTCTTATGCAATGATAAAATGTGGTTTCTATAATTATTAGCTATGTTACCGTGATCAATGCTTCAAAAGCAGTGATTCCCACAGCGACATGATCTGTGCTGGACGGATGATCATCAACGGAGTTGGGATGTCAGGCTAAGTAGTTATACGTCTTATGATCATGGGGACAGCGTTCAAGGAAATCTCGTTCTATCAAGTGCTCGATGCGCTGTTTTATGAGTTGAGGGGTTGGCCGAAACCTGATAAGGCACCGGAGGGTCGATGGTCCGTTAATAAGGGATCGCGGAGCCTCACCTCTGCGAGAGTTGTTCGGTTGCCTCGACGACCAGTGAGTTGTGATCCAACTGCTTCCTGCTCTTCATAATACGTACCTTTCAACAGAGTGGGAAAATATGCACGTAGCCAACTACATGTGTTGGTGACAATATGAGAAATTTTTAGGGAGTTTTTGGAGTTTTCCATTGGTTTTCTAATATTTCTACGGTAGAAGTCCTACCAGAATTCGCGTGTAAACGCCTATACTTAGTAAGAAACCTGCCAACTCAGCTAAGGGAAGCGAACATAGATTATAATACTGCCCTTGAAATTAGCAGACCGCTGATGTATGCTCACCAAGACGGCCTCAACGATGTGCTTTCGGTCCTCCTCTACAACTTGAGGGATCGCGTTGCCACTTGACGAAGATTCTGCGGCTCCATCTGACATGCATAAACTGGTGATGGCAGGGTTGAGGAGAGCGAAGGCCCACCTTTATTGTTTGCGAGAGCTATCAGCGGTACCTGAGGACGTCCAGTAGTGTTTACTGAGACTCACACTGCGGTGAAGCCGATATGTTGCATACCTTAACGCTTCGGACACGGGACTCGAACTCAGTATTGACCCGGAAGATGTCACCAGAAATGGGCTCCTTAGATGACTGTGGACTCTCTCGCAACAACACTCTGTGGCGGTAAGGAGAGGTCATGATGGCCACCGTCACTGAGGTTCCTTACCGCACTCTCGGATTCACATAAAGGCTCATGAGATGCCGTTTGATTTCCGCGTCATCTTCCCGTTCGGACTTCTCATTCACGCTTGGATTCTCTCCCCTTCCACAGTTCAACGAAGATCTTATCCGTTCGTAACTTGTATGCCACTAGTGTTGGCCTCAGCGCGAATCATTTCGATGCGCTCACCTCAGTGATTCCAATGAGTTGAACATGAGGAGTATCATCGCTTGGTAAGTACTCACGGTGAGGACATGTGGGCTACGCCCTGCCCTACTCCGAATATCGACTGAGGCAAAGTAATCAGTGACAACCACAGCGAAGAGTATTGGAATCGTTCCTCTAGCAATACCGCGTAGCTCACCAGTGCCGTAGTTGAATAACCACGTGAGCTTCCGTCCACTGTGTTTCGATAGATAGAACGTCTCAAACCTGCAGTTAGGTCCAATAGCAGTGAGAGAGGAGCAGCTCAGTAACTTACCTGTCGATCAAGGACTTCATGTCCACAGGTATGTCACATCTTGGAGGTGTGTGGGTCGGCCAAAAGCCCGAGGTGCAGACCTGACAAGAAGACGACACAGATAGGTTACGAAACAAGTTCAGGACTATGGGACCCTTTCACCTTAACATCTAGCTCACAATGAGGTTGAGATTGTCCATCTATGATCGATGCAGATATTGACTGGCTGTAGCTTCGGCTCGCGTCCTGGAGAGCACCAATACCATCAGTAGAGGCCACTCCCACTATTATCCCCTACTTGGCTCAAGCTGACGTCCTTCAACATGCCTTCTAGTTTCGACGTGTATTGTTGGCCACACTGAAGCCAGATACACACCGGGGACAGTATCGGGCTACCTCTGCTCTCAATTTAGTCACCACCAACTTCTCTGCTTCCTCCACGTTCGCTGACGATGGCCTGAGGGATGCCCGGGTCAACTGCCAGTTACTGTCCATGTATAGCTCACTTAGAGTTGAGTAAGCGTCGGCACAAGCTCGATCGATAATATGACTCGAAGACATCCTTGTCAATAAGGTACCTGTTGATACCACTCATACAGCGGAGCGAAGCTGGCAATGATGCAGACATACCGAAAGACGCTGATAACTTGATCAACGTTAGAGTGGAAATCTGCATCGGTCATATCTCTCAACCTAAAACAGTGAGCTTACGTTAGACGAGTGAGCAGAGAAATTCCAGCTGCATTATGCGGCGTTACTTTTTCCGCAGTAGTTCATCCAGATAAAGGCTCAGATAATGGGCGCATTTCGGGCCGTTATTGAGGGAATTCTCAAATGCCATCTTCATGTGATTGGAGAACTCCAATGAGCCTCGAAAGGCTTGAGACACGATCCTCTCGAACCTGACTTTCCAATACGTTCTATTCACACACATATGTCGGCATGCACCTCTCTCGAAGAGAGAGTAGTTTCTCCACGAAAGACACCGGAGCGTTCACGGTGCTCTCGTCAGCGATCAGATCGGCAACTACATCGAAACCATGTACAGGAGATCTTGAACGCCTCCTTTCCCTACTCGCTGTGCTTATGCTCTGTTGCATAACGGTCGCTATGTCACTAAGGGCGTCGGGTATTCGGGAGAAGAGAGAATACATCAGTCGGAGTTCGGACACTCTGAGCCGATGGTGATGTACTGGCATTAGCCGCTATACTCCTACCTGGCTTGGGCAAACATAACCTTACAACCACTACTCTCCTGTTGGATGAGACTCTTATAGTGACGGCCAAGCCATACTGAGTCGAGCACCTCTTGAACCTGCGGAAATCCAGAGGAAGCATGGAAAACGGCGAGATTGTATAATTCTGTGTATTCCGTGTTCATATTGATATTTCATTCCAGTTTGAGAGACGATACTGTATATAACAGGAAGTGACTCAAGTATAAATTGCCCGTATATAGAGCTCGAATTTATCACACCACAACAGCGAGATGAAATACCGAGTGACTGTTTGGGTATATCATCGCCATTATCGAATCGCCATTAGTAATATATCATCGCTAGGCAGCGACTAGATGTTACGGTCAGCGATATATGAAACTATATAATCATGGTAGCTGCTCCCCAGTGGTATCTTCCACCCACCTTAGGCATAGTCTGATTTCGGTCCATATAGGTCTCAACTCGCCTCTTTTCCTGCCGCATTCGGCTGTTAGCTTTTTCAAGATATTCTCCAACTGTATGCCGATTTATATATTCGTTGGCCTGATAACAAAGTAATTCAAAACCAGCTTCGCTCCGCTAAGATTTTAGACTCACTTCTCGCGTGTAAAAGTCGCGTATGAGGGCCAGATAGTTGATCTCGAACCAAGAATAGTAGTCGTTCGCGCTTTGCATCGGTGATGGAACCTCGACGTAAATCACCGGGCGCATATCAGAGGGAGAAGGAGAAGTGGCTTGCAAGGATTGATCAGCACGATAACCTGGCGAGGTCCCCGGTTCGATTCCCAGCGCCTGCATTATTATTTAATACCTGTTTCAGGCACACTTCTCTGTGAGGGTAGGGTTTGTATACTAGAGAGCTCCACAAGCATAGACAACACCGTCTTGATAAGGTGTGGATCTGTTATCGTCTCGCCGTGGAGTTCACGACGGAGCTCAGCCAGGATCTAAGCCCTCAGCGTGAAACACTACTTCACTTTCCTGTAGTAGTACTACCTGCCCAATCGCCCTATCCCTGACTCGTGCATGCCCTATTACGGTGTCCCGGAACAACTGAGAAATTGAAAACATCATGGAAGCCCTGAGACCCTATATGCAAGTAATACTCAAAGTACGCGGGCTCTCGTGTGAGCGGATAATTGTTTATTGAGACACATGTGCAGTCCGATCAGTGCTAGACATTTTTCTTAGCGGAGTAGTAGCCAGAAGGTAACTACGCTGTTATTACTCTCAATCCCATATCATAGACAGGTACACACTGTTCGGGGTGTTGCCTCACATAGTTGCGATCCATATACCTACACTTGCCGTATGATAGCAATAGACCTAGAGGATAGTACATAAGTATATCCCGTATCATGCCCATGGTCATCTTATGATCCTCCCATTCCACTTTCAAACGAGCAAGTAGATCCTCATCAGGACCTGTCACCGAAACACTTCATCCGGGAGGACCATAAACAAACGCTGTTTGCGAGGACATGACGTGAGAATACCTCCTATATCGTGCTAATCAATTCAAACAGTGAATAAACGAGGTAAATGCAAAGCCTGAGCATCGACGCAGTCGCTACTCAAGTTGAATATTGTAGTCGTGAGTAAATGAATAAATTTCACTTGGATGGTTCAAGTCTATAGTGCCAAGCTCAGTATCAACAACATCGTCTCTATAAGTACTTATTCATTTCCATCGCGATGCGATAAGTTTAATAATGTAAGTGTATGACTAACACTCCAACAGTTCGAGTCTATTGTGCCAAGTTCACCGTCCGGTAGCCCGAGACGATTCAAAACGAAACTGAGATGTTCAGATGAGCTTTTTCGTAAAATCAGTAATGTGTTGCTCAAAGCCTTTTGATAGGAGGCGAAAGAGAGGGAACTCATGACACCCAGTAGTACTTTCAATACAGCGCTTAGAGACCTCCATTAGATGTAGGCTCACTGTCTCCTCCACCCCTTTATACAGCTTCAGACCGTACTTATGTAAGACCAAATTATACCTGATATCAATACACAGTCAGCAACTCTGAGAGATAGTAGACTGTACCCATTCCGATAGAGTTCCTCAAAAGATAAATGACTTGCATTGTGATTGTGTATTTGTTGTATTGCTGACTTCAACGATTCCCAAGTGCCTGATCATGAGCATTCACAGTTAATTCACACCTATCTGGAGAAGGTCTCAGAAAGTACTACTACTACTACTACTACTACTACTACTACTACTACTACTACTACTACTCCACACTAACGAAAATGATCAAAATTTCTGACCGGAATTCAAATCTAGGACGAAGACCGTCAGTACTACTTTTCTGTTTACCAAGATGATTGGAAAAGAGCGCGGTATGGATTTCAAGATATTCCCATCCCCTTATATTACGGGCCGCCTCTCCCTCATCTATTGGCTCCCCTGCTCGGAAGTGGCGGAAGCCCGCAGCAGCAGCTGAGGAGGATGACGATGACGAAGTGTTGGTGTTAAAGGCCCTGCTATGTGACATCAAAAAAAGAGGGAAATCAAGTCAGTAAAGACAGAATGAAACCAGACCAGTCGTAGCTCCCTGAACCTACTTTCCTATTACTTATAATAACACCAACCATAGGACTGCAACTGAAACCATACTGGCAGTAAAATTAGTTCGGCATATCGCCAGAATTATCATCAACATCATTTTCATCCATACTGAGATCCGCCTCCCTCATGCGCTCGTCGACCCAGCGCTGGCCGCCTAGCATGGACCAGAACGTCAGTAATCTCCACTCACCGCATTCCTGATACTATAAACCAGAGACTAACTCACATTCATTTGTGCCTGTTGGAGTTGGTTCATCTGGTCGAAGAACTGGCATTCACGTTCATACCTATCCATACCAAACACGTTGACGCTATAGCCTATTTACGGTATGAGCTCACTCGAAAAATACCGGAACCGCAAGCACTATCGCTGATACTACTGCCGTCCACACGATGTGGCCGCCCAACCATCGACCGTTAGAAGTCAACTGAATGAGGAGATAGAAGACAATGGAGGGGGAGGAGAGGTACTTTGGACAGCCTGTTCTTGGCCACCTTGAGCTTTGGATGTTCTTCCAAGAAGCCGGACATGCGAGACACTACTGCTCCCATTTATATAGGGGTATTATATGGAGAAGGAACTAGGTTGAGTGAAGGATGGTATGGAGAAAGTAATAAACTCGACATTCTAAAAATAGGAAACTATCTGTAGTATTATTGTACCAAATCAGGTAAGGTTCATCAATTGGAACACAAAACTATACCAGTGACAAGCATCGCTGCTTACAGTAGGACCTGATAACCCAACAACTGACCAGTGAGGAGCAGCACGAGTGTAGAGGTAGTACCAGGCCCATGTCCTGAGGCTCCATGAAGGGACACTTCCAGTTGTACAAGTAGTATTGAAGATCACCATCGCCACGGCCAAACTTCAAGTCCTGCGGGCGAACATGGGTGATCAACGGTAACAAACTCCTAGATGCTACTACTACTACTACTACTACTACTACTACTACTACTACCTCTAGGAACTCCTTGTTGTCCATCAGGTTCAATGCATTGAATACATCGTACCCCGCATGTTTAGCCTGAATATTGACATATAGTCATATCTTCCATTACTTGAGCCCCACTACTCATACTCACCAAAACTAGGGCATCACTCATGAGCTGTTTCAAGCTGACAGTATTGGCCACATTGTAGTACGAATAAGCAGCATAGAGAGTCCTGACGACAACCGTAATCATCAAGTCTATAGAAACAGCATACACTCACTTGTGCTTATCGTTACCAAGCACAGAACTCGGCAGAGAATAAAACGACAAGAAGTCGGTAACCTTACCGTTCTCCTCGCGAACCTGAACCAATCGGAATACAACCATATCAGCGAACATCACATCTTCAAGAGAAAATATAACTACAGCATGAGGACGACCATTCACATTGAACCACCATACGCATCTAGATAGGTTCAATCCTCTAGTAAAATATTCCCGTAAACCCAGACGAGAGAAATACTATAATACGACCAGCCAACACGTAGTGGTAAAACGATGAAAAGAGAAAATTCCGCCTCCCAAGAGTTATTCATCATGCAAGGTGTGCAATGCCTACATATGTGTATATGACATTCTCCCTGGGCAACAGCCAATGGCCAACTTCATGTTGTGATAGGACAGGATGAACTTTAAATTTCGACAAGTATCTGCCTCGATCAGACTAGCATCATCACTAACCGCTTTGATGTATTACTCATTGAGTAACTTAGTAACTTGCTTTCTGTCCTTCATTTCCATCGGTCTCAGACCAGAGGTACTCGGTTGGTCAGCGACCTGTCACCACATCTGTCACCCTCGTCAATGCAACTACTACCACCTTATACAACTTGATACATCTAGCCATGGTCATTCTAGGAGCAAGACGAGTGAAGCCTACTTCACAGAGCTTCTTAGGGTTCAATGACCTAAACCCAATCTATCAACTATACACAGGAGAGCCTTGTTACCCTACCTATGATGATATCGTGCAGTGGTTACGGGCCTGGGTAGGATTGCCCCTGACGTGTACACAGCCTGAGAGTAATACAAGCACTCATAGTACTATGTTTCACAGTACATGTACAGGGAGTAGTATTACTCATAGTACTATGAACAATGAGTAAAGTACATGTACAGGGAGTAGTATTACTCATAGTACTATGAACAATGAGTAAAATACATGTACAGGGATTAGTATTACTCATAGTACTATGAACAATGAGTAAAGTACATGTACAGGGAGTAGTATTACTCATAGTACTATGAACAATGAGTAAAATACATGTACAGGGATTAGTATTACTCATAGTACTATGAACAATGAGTAAAGTACATGTACAGGGAGTAGTATTACTCATAGTACTATGAACAATGAGTAAAGTACATGTACAGGGAGTAGTATTACTCATAGTACTATGAACAATGAGTAAAGTACATGTACAGGGAGTAGTATTACTCATAGTACTATGAACAATGAGTAAAGTACATGTACAGGGAGTAGTATTACTCATAGTACTATGTTCAGGAGGTAGTAATACTCATATACATAATACTAACCCCACTGAGCAGTCATTACCTGCCATCGATCAGTCAAGTTGACCCTTCTTGTGACCTCCTTGATCAGCACTGGTGCCAGGCGCTTGGACCTAGAGAACCATTAATCAACTAGAGTTTCCGTTATAGTCTGCTTTCCTCAACTGAGCTATTATACATATTGTTATCTACACATTTCCTTCATCTGTATCAGTACTACCTAAGCTTCTTATGAACACACAAGAAGTTAATCTCCACGGTCCGCAGCTCGTCGCCTCGAACATCCATCGTTGCTGGAATGCCCGTAATAAAACCAACCAACTGACAACGACCAAGCAGGACTTGAAACCCATAGGCCACCAGCCATCAACACATTACCTTTCCGTTTGACTTCACCCTCACCCCAAAGTGCCATTCTGGAACGTAGTGGGGAGGCGTGAGCGCCCATCGGAGGAACTCCGGGCTGTAGTCAAATCTGATGATCAAGTGGTATAAAGCAGGAGTAAGGCTAATACTCTTCTCACCTGAACATAGCTTCGTCGTCCTCAACATAGTTCTCATTGAGAAGAGTGTAAACCTCCTGAATCTGTTCCGGATCGTTGACATCAATGTTGGACCATTCGAAAGCAGCCGGAAGGTTATAGGGTTCCTTAGGAATATCAGAAACCTTCTTAGCTTCGTCAATAGGACCTAAACATACCTTCAGCATCTCATCAACAACCAATCGAACAACAAGCCGACCTCGAGCGTCCTGTGGGACAGGATCTGCATCTAGCTGCGGCACTGGTTGAGTGTTCCAAAATTTATGCTGATGGAGTAAATCTGAATTCCATCGTCGTGAAAGACCTTACAGTAGTTGTGGGGGGTGCAGCCGCTATGCTCATCTTCTCCAACAGATCCTTAATTTCAGCTTGTTCCTAGTCATAACCCTACCACGCCTCGATTAATTCATACCACACTATTACCACATCGTCAACCTGTTCATTAGCAGTACTACTAACAGCCTCTATTTCGTCTGTATCCTTAGGATTAGTCTCATCCACTGATGATAAACTCTTATTGCTGGACATTTTGTAAATGGGGTGTAGAAACTGATCCACATTTCTCCTTCTTAAACTTCTTCGACTCCAACGCTATGGGATACTACCGCTTTCCTTCAATATGTACAAGCGGGTTCGTCACACGTCTACTGTTCTAAGCCTTTTATAAATATGCTTCGACGAAAATCCATAATCGATTACCAGGGCGCGCGCTACCACCGACGCAAGATTCGCAAATCCCCACTTTGAACCCAAGGACACCTTGCGAGACTGCAGTAATGCATGATGAAATAAATCTATCTAGTAGAGAGGTCACCGCACCACCCTGGTTTATCACGCCGGCTTCGCTTCGATCTTCGTAACGTGTTTCTGTACATACTTTTGCATAGTGCACATGTTCACCACTGGTACCGGAATAATACGCCCTAACCAATAGGTTCTATTTCAGCAACCAAAGTGAGCTTCTTGCCTAGAACGGCATCAGGCTTAATATTCCTCTTGTCCGTCGTTTCTTGCAGATTGTGGGATTTGATATATACCCATCTACCAAACAAACAGTGGCCCTTCAACAGCCGTATACAAACTCACAGTTTCTTATTAACATCAACACGGCTCGCCTTAGGTACCCCAACGATGGTGGTCAGTTCAGGAGAGAGGGCACACAGCTGATGAATGCCAGTATCTGCTTATGGTTCATCACAGTTCCTCATGGCCTTCAATGACCTCACTATGTGGTCCTTCCTTCATCACACGATGCTGCTTCTTACGCCTAGTCTTCTTACCTTTTTCCTGTCCACCGGGAGGGCTACCCACAACAGCGTTGAAGCGGGCCTAAGTTGAACGATGTCAACTGCAACCATTGTAGAGCTCTACGCACCTGAACTAGGTTGAGCACTGAGGAGCTTCCTCCAATCCTGAGCAGGCCGCGATCGAAGAGTCTGGTCAGCATAGGCGAACAGAGCTGAAATATGCCTAGACGCATATGAATGACCGCGCGCCACAAAACTCTCCGAATAGCAAAGTAATAGGTGTTGTGATCTCTAGCTCTAATACGGCGTTCGACAAGCCCTAAAACCACTATCGATTGGGCCTTTATCAGCACCAACAGCCGAGCAAAGGGACGGAACAGTCACTGATGCGCACGTGTGTACGCGTGCCAATTTCCATACCACTCCAATCACAAATTAAAGAACTCGGCACCTCTTCCACGACGTAACATACGTTATGGTGAATACGGATAACAGGAACAGTAACGTATATCCTCAGTGCTTCCATATTTTAACAACCTTATCGCGACCAGCGCTGACCACTCGGGCACCATCTCCACTCCAGTCCACCGCGAAGACCTCATCAGCGTGACCGGGCAGGTCCTCCTTCAGCTTCCTCTTGCCGGCATCCCAGACCTGACCACAACAGCATCGTGCTGGTCATACGATACGCCCAGTTCCCCATTGTGTTGGAGGAATATATCCTCGCTTTCCTCAGCTGAGCGAACGAATTTCCGAGGCTGATATTAGAACAGGAGTGTACAGAAACCCACAAGAATTCCCAAAATTTTTCATATTCTCGATCACACATGTAGTTGACCATGAGCATATTCCCCCCATTGACCCCCTCACCTTCACAGTAGAATCCTTAGAGCCAGAAACAAGCATACGACTATCGGCTGACCATGACACCATGTAAACATCAGCAACATGACCACGTAGAGCACAGATGAACCTACAGTGGGAAGTGCCAAGGCCAGGGTGGCAGAGCTTAGAGTACTACTTTCCTGTTACGCCGTCCCACAGGCGCACGGACTTGTCGAAACTAGCGCTGGCGATCATACGGCCATCAGGACTGAACTGGACATTATTCACCACCTTCTGATGACCCGTTAAACGACATAAGGGTTTCTTGCCTGAACATGGTGACCAATTTCGTGGCGCGTGACGAAAATCGACACCAACACTTACTGTCCATACTCCAGAGAAACATTGTGAAATCATCACTACCCGATAGGATCCTCTCACCCACACCTCCTGTTTGCTGAATCATCTTGTTATACCTTCACAAAGTATATACTAATAATGTTAATACTGTAACAAACATATACTATTTTTACAAATTCATCTTAGATAAGCATATACGTATGATGTACCATCATTTCAAAATAGATTCATATATGCCTTAACAGATATATTGGAGTTTCACCCTAGTGATATGGAAAACACCAGTAAAAAACATATTTCACGACTACTGCATATCACCGCGAATGTCGCTTTTTTCCACAGAGTATCACGCCACTTCACGTAAACGGCTGGAACTCCATTGCACTATAGTACTATATATATTTTATTAAGATTATTATTATCAAGCTCTGACATGTCAACAACACCTTTGCAATGCTCTCTCCTTGAGCTCAGGCACAGTTGTCTCAGCCGTAGCCGGTTGGTCCTTCTCACCAAAGCAACCAGTCTTCAACGTGACATAGTCCTGTTGAGCAGTTGAAAGCTCATAGATCCTCACCCACGTACCGTATTGCAACAAACTGTGTTGACCCAATGAGCATGACCTTTGAACTCCCTTAACATGCGACCGTCCTTCGTCGACCAAGCCTGGCAA